AAAAAGCTCTTGTGTTCTATTTTTAAATTTTATTTTCAGTTTCGTTCACATGCATTAGCTTGCTACATATTTATTTATCTATGACATGCATCGTGAATTGCGTTGCGTAATTTGAATGCAGATGACATATTTTATGTAATTTCTCTGCTCACTTTCGTTTGTAATTCGGTTTCGAAATTTTAATTTTAATTTGATAATTTTTTTGTTTTATGATAGTTTTTTAAGTTTGAACTGTTTTTGTGTATAAAAAGTAGTGTAACATAAAATATTATATAGATGCGTAGATATTATGTAAATACTGTAATTCAAGTTTAGTGTTTGACATTGTGTAGAACCAATTAAACCTATTATGTATAACAATGTCCCGTCCGCTTACACGTATAATACTGGACTATTTTGAGAAGTTAAGTGTAATAAATTAAAAATGTATTCATTGGAGTAAAATAATACTTTGTAATAGCGCCATCTACTTCATTTTATACGTAAAATGATTTTATCGTACAAAAATTGATTAACTCTCAAGGTGGTACGCACAAAATACGCTAGATGGCATAAACACGACACGATTTAATTTAATATAACGAAAACATCAACAAATATATAGATATTAAAATATATAGATACAATATCAGATATTCGTTTCCAATACATAGGTACGATTTGATATATGCTAAAAGCGATATTACCCACCTCTAGACGGCGCGGCCGCCGGCCGCACAAAATCAGTCCCCCGGCCCCGCCGTCAGACCGGTTCCCCGCTCGAGGCGCGCCTAACAATTTGGCGTGAACCGTGAACTATATATATAACTTCGTTCCATCCGGGTGTCCCTTGACATCTCTCGAGTTTTTTTTTTAAATAATTTTAATTTGAAGTTTAAAGTATTTTAACTTATTGAAAGACTATATAAACTACCACTAATTCGAAAGGAACAAACATCTATGGGAATAAATGGTGCAAGAAACCCACAGGAAGTTTATCTTTAATTGTCAGATTGTTTACAAGGCATCTTTTTTGTCGGTTCTTTGAGCTATATGGCCGGCCCATTGCCACTTCTGCTTACTGCGGATATCCTCATTTCTAAGTTTATCTCGCAGAGAAACTCCGAGCATAGCCCTCTCCATAACTCGCTGAGCGACCTTGAGCGTCCTCATACGGCCAGCAGTGCAGGACCACGTTTCAGATCCGTAAGTCATCACTGGCAACACGCACGGGTTGTACAATCTAGTTGTCAGAGTTTGAGGTATACCTGACGAGAATATGTGTCGTAATTTCCCGATCGCTGCCCAGCCGAGTTGAATCCGTCGATTGACCTCTCGGTCGAAGTTGGATTTACCTAGTCGGACTATGTGACATGGACGTTAAACGTGATCTTTGTTTGGTCCATGTTCATCTTAAGTCCTATCCGTTGGGAAACACCATTGAGCATAGTGTTCAGGTCCTCCAGCGATTCTGCCATAAGGAGTATATCGTCGGCGAGAGACTTACGCTTTTTGACAGCCTACACCGATCATATCGTAGATAAATTGTTATAGATGGAGCTAGTTTTTCTAATACGTAAAACTCGTCAGGCAAACGTTCGAACGACCGGACTAAAATATCACCTTTTACTTTATTTATTTCGGAATGGAAAAATATTAAAGCCCCCCCCCTAATATTATGTCAAATATTGGATTATGTGTTACATATGAAAAAAAAATTACTCATTAAAGATTTACAGATGAAGAATCAACATCAGCGGGCTACAAATATGTTATGTCTATCGTCGTAATTGAAGACTAATTATAGGTAATTACCCCACTTGGTGTTCGAATGCTAAAGCTATTATTTTTTCTCTTGAATACATACATGAATACACTACTGTCACCCAAAGGAGTAAGTAGAGACTACGGACATTAATTTGGTACGACCCTGACACACCTCTCTCGCTTCCTTTACAACCATATACCTCTCCACAGAAGTACATGCTCGTCGGTCAAGGGTACTCTTACTCTGTCTCATCTTCAATATATCGCGAATTTGGTCGATAAACTTTCGTATAGGGCGTCCCATTCCGAATCTGCCGTTCACTTTTACAACATAGATTTGGTTTGTCACTCTTTCCTCTTTCATTCTTTCGACATGACAAAATCATCCCTTAATCCTCCAATAATTTCTCTAGAATGATACTCTTTATTGAAAATTTCTAAACACCTACTAATTACTGAAGTAGTTAGATGGATAGTTGAAATTGCTATTCAAATAAAAATAAAATTTCTTTTAATTTCTGCTTAAGAAATAAAAGAAAATTTATGTCACAATAACGGCAAAAGCAGCTTTAACTTTATGGGTGGCAAACGAGCATACGGTTCACCTGATGTTAAGTGACTACCGCCGTCCATGAACAACTGGAACACCAGGGGAATTGCAGGTGCGTTGCCGGCTTTTTAGATAGGAGTAAGCTCTTTTCTTGAAGGTCCCTAAGTCGTATCGGTCCGCAAAAATCGCCGACGGTAAACTATTCCACAGAAAGGTCGTACGCGGAAGAAAACTTACAGTGAAACGCACAGTGGTGGACTGCCAAACATCCAGATGGTGTGGATGGTATGGGCAGGTTTGCTGACTAGTGCGGTCATGAAATTTGGCGGCTGGGATTAATCCGAACTAGCTAACTGGGATAATTCCTCAGCAGTCCCCGTCGTAGATGCAAAAGAAAATGCAAAGAGATGCAACGTCTCTTCGCAGCGCCAGTGATTCGAGCCAATCGTAAAGCATTCGGTCGTCGAATATTCGAGCCGCTCTGCGCTGGATGCGGTCAAGTGAAAGGAGCTGGTACTGGGGAGCCCCAGCCCAGAGATGGGAACAGTATTCCATGTGCGGCCGAACCTGCGCCTTGTAAAGTTGCAGGCGGTGTGTCGGCATAAAATACGTTCCCGCTCTGCTGAACACGTCAAACTTTTTAGAGACCAATTTGGCCTTCTCTTCCAAGTGACCACGAAACTGCACGTCAATCGATATGTCGAAGCCGATGATTCCGATACTGGCTGAGGCAACAAGGGGAGTGCCTTGAAACTGAGGAGATACGACAAAGGGGTTCTTTTTAGCGGTTAACGCGTAAACTTGTGTCTTCTGTGAGTTAAACTGGACTAGATTTAGTCGCCGCCCAATCCGAGACTTTGTTCAGCAAAGACTCGACTTCAGACACACGTTTGTCCCGGTACTCTACGACGTTTTCTCGAGAATTATTGGCACGGCCGGTGTATAAAGCATCACCAGTGCTGTCATCTGCATAGCAATGAATGTTACCAGTTTGCAACACGTCATTGATAAGCAGAAGAAACAGCGTTTTTGTTGATAGCACGCAGCCTTGACCAACACCATCGTTAATGGGCTTCTAATCGGAGCATGCACCGTCTACTACGACCTTGATGCTCCGATCAGCAACAAAGCTGGTGATCCAATTGCACAATTTTTCGGGAAGCCCATAAGAAGGGAGCTTCGAAAGAAGCGCTTTGTGTCAAACCCTATCGAAGGCCTTCGCTATGCCCAAACTAACGGCCAATGCCTTCCCCTTGGACTCTACCGTCTCCGTCCATCGATGAGTCAGGTAGACCAGAAGATCACCAGCTGATCAAACCCGAAAACCATATTGGCGGTCACTAATAAGCTGCTGATCCTCAAGGTACACCATGAGCTGGCAGTTTATAATGGATTCCATTATTTTAGAGAACAAGGGGTTAATTGCAATAGGCCTGTAGTTTGACGGATCTGAGCGGTCACCTTTTTAGGGATCGGGTGGACGAAAGCAGTCTCATGATTTTGGGTCTACGCCTAGGGAGTAGGAGTACCGGAAGAGACGCGTTAGAACCAGTTCCAAATGGAGCACACGTCCTCAGCACAATTGGGGGGATTCCGTCAGTCCCACACGACTTGTAGACGTCCAGGGAGAGGAGTGCTTTGCGAACCGAGCGCTGTGGGAACCGCACATCCGGCATGGAGCACTCACACCGCGGGATGGTCAACGGTGTGCTGCCCCCCGTCATTGAGAGTAGAGTTGGGCGCAAAGAAAGAGCCTAGCAGATCGGCTTTCTTGTTTGCGGCATGGGCCAGTGAGTTTACCTCCCTGTGCAGATATGGAAGAGATGGCTAACAGAAATTCCCTTGGAGAGCCTTGGCGAGAGACCAGAATGCACTGGTTCCAGAAGGAAGGGGAACTAGTTTAACGCCAATTCTGCCTATGTGCTCTGACTGCCTTGGCAATGGCAATGACATTTAATGGACCTGGCGGCAGAATTGTACTTCTTTTTTAGGGCGCTGGTATTTACATCCCGGGACGTTGATGCATCAGCCCGGGCCTGGTAGCACTCCTGCTTATAGCGTGATGCTATTTCACAGGAGCGACGAAACTATAGCTCAGATCTGCCTCCGATGGACACCACAGAGGACAGAATAAAAAGTTTTATACTCTGAAGTACCACATTAGCGACAGAATCAGCAACAACTTTTTATCGTCCAGCGAGAAGCAAACCCGCCTCCAAGGGAAAGATGCAAAGAAAAACCGCATTCTATCCCAATCGGCGGACCTATAGTGCCAAACACGGCGGCACCACACTCCGGACAAGACAATGATTCGAAAAGGCAAGAGGGGCATCGACGGAGACCTGATATCTGTCCGGATGAGAGGACTATTTATATCGGTATGTCTTCCTCTCTTACACCTCTCCACAATTGGATAGGTTTCGTTATGATCAGATATGTCAGATGGATATCTTAGACTTACTCTACTACTTCGACCTGCCGACAGGAATCTGACACACCCTAGCGACTACATGGAAAAGGTGCGACAAAATATTTAAGAAAGTCAACGTTAATTGCGAGTGTGAAAATAGGTTAGCGTTCACATAGCCTAGAATACAAAATAATTGGGGATAAAGGGTATGAATAAAATTGTTTATTCTAAATTTTTACTTATCTATGAAAATATGCTTTTTATTTTTTATTTAATTTTAAATAAAAACTAAAATCACAGCAGCATTTCGGAGCTACGCCCATTCGGATTGTGCAAAGGTGTGGTACAATTTCCTACTTCTACAATCCACTCGTACCATATTCGCCGTGAATTGACACAACGCCAGAATGTGGCAGTTATAATTTCTCCCTTGTGTACTCTTAAAGGAGTCTGTAAAAAAAGCAGTGTACTAAATGTTTACAATTTTATAAAATGACATTAGAGAATATTAAAGAATTAAGGACGAAATGCAATTACCTTAATCGGTATAAAAACAGGAAACCATGATATCATTCCAGGGCTATGTGTTGATGGGACAATACTTATCATTTCCTTTCCATAAAGTGAACAATCAAAATACCCTCCAAAACCATGCATCACATTATCTTGTTTCACTTCCCAGGAAACAATTGCTGATCTTCTATTATCTGTAAGGGGTAACCCTCTGTAATCAGTCACTTCTTTACCTTCATGATCCCTTGTACCTTTAGCTGGGTGTTTAAATGTAAACACAAGCTGCAATAATATAGAGTTAAATGGTATACATTACCACTGTTTATTTATAGAAGAAAAAGAAAATAATTACCTTAGTTTCAGCAATGTCATGTTTATTTTGCATATACACAACCCATAGTGTTTCAAGGTTCTTGTCTCGTTGTTGTGCCGAATTAGATGATGCCGCTTTAGCGGCTGCCCACAATCGAGCAGAAGAAATTGGTGCCACGTAGGAATTGTACTCATTGGGAATGGATATGCCATCCACTTTCAAAAGTCCAGCTGCGCCATCCAAACATTCTGGGGAAAGTTCATTATCTCCCCACGAGCCTACAAATAAAGCAATTGTAGTTTCATGATATTATACTTATAATATAATACTGATTAAACATTTCTCACACACCTAACAATTCTGAAACAATAATATCAGCTTTTGGAGAAAGATTTATTTGTCTCATATCACCAGGAATGAGTATGACATCACGATCTCGCCAAACTTCACGGGCTTGTGCAGCTAGCACTACTACAGCACATGGATTTTTCTCTACAGCTATAACCTAAGGCACAAAAATATGATTATAAACTTGATAATCTTGAAGACCTCTAATCCTAGAAGCAACAAATTTTATGTACGGTAGTCTGCCCCTTCAAATATAACAAAAAATCTAGTTAAAGATATACAGAGTGACGATGAAGATATCACATTAAATGAAAAGACGTATCCTAAATAACGTTCTTTAAACATACATAATTAAAAAAATGTAACAATTAACATCCTATGCCCAGTAATAATTTTTTTTCGATTTAATATTAAACAACATCATGTAAATGCATATATTTATCACCTGACGAATACTAAAAGGTCAAAGACCCATGGCCGGCAAAGGCGAATTATAGTTCAAACGTTGCCAATCGGAATAACTCAAATAAAGAAAAAGGATCAAGCAAAAAATGTACTTAAGCCAAACGATTTAAGACTTAATTCTTATGCGCCAATTTAAAAACAAAGGGACTGCACGGTGATAAGTTTCTCGATTTGTTTACGTTAATAGGATAATAATAGATGCGAAATTGGACGCTTACTTTTATTGTTTTGTATTTTTATTGTTTGTGATGGAACACGTTAATAATACGCTAGATAAAAATCATATTTAATAACTTAGTGAAGTGGTGTGACATTTAATTTTTAACGTTTTAACTTTTTCTAAGTTTTGAGATACCTCGTATCAATTTCACGTCGTCGGAATAAACCGACATGATTTTGATTTACGGAGAATGCCACCAAAACGCAGCTCTAGCATTAAATAACATTTAATTATTAAATTTGATTTGAATTAGTTATTAAACTAAAGTTTAATAACTAATTCAAATCTAATCACTCTAATCTTGTAATCACTAAAGTGATTACAAGATTAGAGTGATTATTTTGATAAAATAATATCATAAAGTTAATGATTTGTTGATAATATCGCATTAGCATCGCTCTACGCGTGCCCATTCCCTATGTACGGGCAAGTGTAGGTATCGCTGCGCCGTTGCCGTTTTTACAGGTCACTTCAGGTCAATAAACTCATATTATCCAGGATGATTTATTTCGTGTAATATTTTAAGCTATTTATTTTGTTTGAAAAATGCACTTTTTTATTTTTTGTATTATTGTTTATTTTATTATTTCAACAGACGTATGTCAACTTGCATTTACTGCTGCGCTATAAAATGTGATAACCTAATCCCCACCCAGTATGTAATATTAATTATATACTTTTCTAATCAAAATGAAAGGCGTGAAAAAACTTCCGAAAAATTAAGCGTAACTGTTGGCGCTTTTATTCGATCCAGTTGTTTAGGATTAACGATGCATGCAATATTATACCGTATTTAATGAGAGCTAATAAGATAAGATAAGCAAAAAAAATTACATTGCATATTACACAAAATTACCTTCACTTTAGTTTGTGTTATATCAGCAGCATTTAATGTTGCTCGAACAAGGGGTCCTCTACCAGCGCCTAAAACCATTACAGTGACGGGTTCGTTTTGTACTACTTTGTTGTCGCCTTGTCCTTCTTCTTTTTTCTCATAAGATACAGAAAAATCATTGACTTCACTCTGTAATAAATATCGCATTTTTCAACAAGCTTACGACAATATGTTACACATACATATGTATAAGAGAACAAAGTGTTACCAACTTTTTCATAAGTGTGATTAACTATTCAAAATTATGATAGATCAGATCTAATAAGACAAGTTTCATTACAACTGATGTGAACTTTTGTGATTGCTTCGCTTATAGATCACTATTTGGCCATACATTCGCCATGAATTGTAGTAGAATTAAGCTGTGAGTGATGGATATATATATAAGTGAATTCATTGGTCAACTTCTAGTAAATGTCATTCTTGCTGCATATTTACACATTAAGATTTGAGTAATTTTATGATTTATCCATTTATTGAATACTCAGTCTAAACACATACTACAACTATACTTCTACAACACGCACCACTGTTATTGTTGCATCATCTGTCAGATTATTTGAAATCCATCTGGCATCTCAATAGAAAGCAAACTTTTTTGACACTAAGAGAAGAATGAGGTAGATGGAATCCTTTTTACAGTTCATATATAAAAAAAGGTATATTATTATTATATGCAATATTAATATGCTAACTACTTACAAAATATTTATATTACACAAAGTACATGATCTCCTACTGATGTACTGATTTCTTCTAGGAAACCCATGTTCAGCAGTTGTCTTGTAAAGGGCTGTATTAATGATGATAACATAAGGTAAGTCTATATAAGTCTACGAAAAACAATAAAAATCTTACTTACACAAAGTTCATTCACAATTTGATCATTGTCTTTGACCTGTCGCTTTTGTCTTACGTCTATTAAGGCTTGCGTGATAGCCTTTTGATATTGATCATATTTAACAGGATCTTTTTCAAAAACATTATATGTATGAGTATCCAAGTTGTCAGCAAGAGGTTGCAAGGGTGTTTGAAGATAATCTTCCCACCTGGTTATTATCACAAGTCTTTATTAATATAATCAGTATATAAGTTATTTAGAAATTGAAAGACAAACTAGAATAATTTGCCAAGGGCCTCAGTCATTGGATTTGTGATATATGTTTTGTTTAGGCAAAATTTCAACACATTAATCTATACATGTACATAATATAATAAAATTGTAATGAGTTTTTTGTTCGTCTGTGTGTTGATGGACGCTAATTTCGACAACGTCTGAACTAATTTTATGGTTTTCAGTCATATATTAAGTGAGAGTTAAGTTTGGCTATTTATTTTATTTTATTTAATTTGGTTGATAAGTATTTTTAAAGAGTGGCTCTCGCGTGCTTGACATGACGCGTGCACAAGTCTGAAGGAAAAGCTATCCTCGGCTGCTTCATTGGTGCGCACTGACCAAACGATTAAATAACGATGAAAAGAATGAACTACTATTAAAATTTAGGTATATCGTAATAATATAACAATTATCTTTATTAAATATAGAAGAAGAGGCAGCCATCATTTCAGTCAGATTTTTAAGTAATTTTAATTTCTAATATTTCTGTTGTTATTGTGGAATATTTCTTTATTTCTATATTCTGGAATTAAAGATTTTACGCACTGCCTCTAAACGGACACAGTCAGCTGACGTCTGTTTTGTAATAAAAATCGCACTAAGTAAAATGGATTGCCCGGAGTTTCTCAGTAAAATGCTCACTAAAAGTCTGCTGTTAAAAAACTACGCAAGAATGTACTACTTAGTTCATGTTTCAACTTGTCATACGAATTATAGAAGTAAGAGGTTTATACCATGAACTTTGAGGTTATTTAATAAGTATTTATCCTGTGATAGTAGGTACTACAAGCATTAAATCTACTCTTACAATAGATTTTGAAAGTAATGTGTCTGAATAAATATTTTTTGCGAATATATTCTGGCTAGATGTAGAAGCTTTTTACTGCCTTATATGCTTTATTAAACTAAACAAAAATTTCAGGAAAAATCCAATGACAAACACTTGATTATTTTACCTATTAGTAAGCAAGCAAGAAAATCCTGGCTGTAAGCACCAAACCCACTAAGCATACGCTTTAGTATCAAATCTTACACTAAACTAGAATACCTAAGAGTAATTATAAAATCAGTGTTCTAGGACTCCTTTTATCTAGGAGCCCACCTGGGTATGTCTAGGTCTGGTATCTCCTCTTATTTCTGCCGCCAAGTATGTGCATTACTGTGTTCCAGTGTAAAACCAGGTATAACTACAGGCTGAGGGGAATTCCATCTAAATACTTAGTTGTGACACCATATCTGAAGCATTCTTTGTTTAATTTGGTTGGAGTTCATGTGATGCAATAACCTTACTGTGAAGCACAATCCTGAGTCGCCTGAATCCTTAAACATATAAATTATGTGAATAGAAACTCATCATTTTTCCACGTTTTTTTACGTTACCTCTACACTAGAATTTTCTCATGTATCATAGGGATAGTTTACATACATAAAGTTCGCAAGAACAAACAGAAAAACCAGAACCGGATTTTTTTGTGCCCCCTACAAATACTTGTTCTGTGCGGGATTCGAACACGCAACATTTAGAGCTGCAACTCATTGCTAAGCCACTGTGACACAGAGTCATCATTAGAGATGAGTTATGGACTTACAATCACGAATAACTGAAATTACAATAATATATAACACAATTATAAATCAATATTTACCCCTTAGCATAACTAAGCATAGGATCATCAGCTTTATAAGGTCTTCTTTGCCATATACGGTAGAGATATTGAACATAATATTCAATATTTGATCTTCTCGCTCCACTTACAATAACCTGTGCTTCATGTTCTACCATATTAATTACTAACTGTTGGTGTGCTCTTGATAATACTGGATATCTATAAACAAGTACACTTATATTAACTTAATATTTATTCATTTTTTTACACTTATACACTAGGTTACATGTGATAAAAATCAAAAATATTCCAAAATCTTTAAGAAGTGCATATTATGACTGAATATACTACCAAGAGTATCGCAATTAGTGCTGACATAAGTGAGATAATAAGCCAATGTTAAGCATTTTGGACCGCGGAGTTATTAGCCGCCCTTCTTACTTTCTGAAGTTTAAGTTTTCTACATAAAATAACAGTGTACTGCAACATCAGAATGAAGTGATTCAGAGTAAGTACAGGTGTAAAAGTTGTAATCAAAAAACATTGACTTATATATTATTAGCATGGACCAGACTTCTTTATAGGAGGGGAGCAAACAAGCATATGGCTCACCTGATGGTAAGTTATTTTTGATTACTGACGTCCATGAAGACCTGGAGAATAGCAGATGCGATGCTGGCTTTTTAAAAAGGAGTAGGTGCTTTTCTTGAAGGTCCCTAAGTCATATCAGTCCAAAAAAATCTCTGGTGGTAGTCAATTACACAAGTTGTGCGATAAAAACCTTCTTTTAAATGGCACAGTGGTCTACCGCCAATCATCCAGATGGTATGGATACCATCGCAAGCTTTGTCGCGATGTGCGATGGTGAAATTGTGCGACTGGAATTAGTTCCAACAATTCCTCAGAGCGGTCCCCATGAGTTAAGCCCGATTCTCCCGAGATCTCGGTCGCCGACGATTCGAACGGCTCTGCGCTGGATGGGATCAAATGGAAGGAGCTGGCACTGGAGAGCCCCAGCCCAGAGATGGGAACAGTATTCTCAGAGTAAGGCATTCTAGTATGTGGGGCCGACCATGCGCCTTGTAAAGTTTCAAGCAGTATACCGGCATGAAACACTGTCCCGCTCTGCTGAGCATGCCAAGCTTTTTAAAGGCCAATTTGGCCTTCTCTTTCAAGTCACCACGAAACTACACGTCACTCGATATGTCGACACCGAGGATTCCTCTACTGATTGGGGCACAAGGCACTCCGCCTTGAAACTGAGGAGATACGACGAAGAGGTTCTTTTTAGAGGTAAACACGCAATCTTGTGTCTTCTGGGGATTGAACTGACACCAATGCGAATGACTTAGGGGCGAGGGGGGGGGATTCGAACCAAATTTCACTCAATCTCACGTGGTTATGCTTCACACAAGTGCATGCAATAAGTTGACAAAGTTACCGCAATCTGATGAATAGTATGGATACGCATAAAATACAATCAAACAAACATTTATTTTTATATAGGTTTTAAGATAATACAATAAATGAATTTATCTCCATCAACGCAGATCTTTCATAAAATACTACATGTTTAAAAATGATTGATGATGTTAGCATGGTTCTAAGGTGCCCAATCAGTTATTTGAATTTAAGAAGAGGCATCTTCTGGTAATGTAATGTTTACAAATCACCAGTTTCGCAGTAAAATAATTAATTTCTTCCAAATACGTACTACCCTACCCTCACAAGTAAATTCAACAATATAAATTAGTGTAAAAACTATTAATTTAAAGATATTGCAGTTAAAACGAAGAAAATACTAACCCTTTTTTATTGTTATGGAAAATAGATGTTGGGACTATTATAGCTTTTACAGGTTCACCAAGCCATCTTTTCAGTATTTCTTGTGAAGGGAGATCGGCAGAGAGTTCTAAAACTACCCCAACTCGTTTATCCCAATCTAATCTCTCATGGAATTTTGACCACCAATGCCACGTCTCATTCCATGCCTCTTCACTTTCTTCGTCATCTTGAATGTTGCGTTGAGCTGTTCTTGTGGATAGCATAGGTACAGACGCCCAAATAAGGGAAGGGTGATGACTGCAAAATTTAAAAAAAAATTACTTAATTTATAAAAATTTGTAAAGACAATATTAACAAATTCTTATAACTAGATTATAATCTCAATTATAATGAATCTAATAAACACAATGTGCTATTTGATTCACTCACACATAAGGAACCGTAGTAGCTCAAATAGTTAGCACTAGTTTTAAATTCACAGTATGCGAGCAACCCGGGTTCGATCCCCACTGGCACTAATGAAATTGTTGTAAATGCAATTTTAAGTGCTGATTTACCATGCTCTGCGGTGAAGGAAAATATTGTGAGGAAACCAGCATCTGAAGTTCGCCAACAAGCATTAGGGGAAGCCCGGCGGATTTTATTGCCCTAAATCCTATCAGAAACCTTATGTAGGTAATGCTACTGTAGGTAATGATAGTCTGTTTGCCCATTTAATGTGCGATTTTGATTAAGTGATTTATTAATTGTGGTCATTGTGAAGCACGGCACAACATTTGAGCACAATTAAAGTTTGGGTCTGTACGAGTGGCCATGCAAAAATATATGCCAAAATAAGGTGTTTTTTTTTTATAGATGTACTAGCTAGTTATTTTGAATATAAATAAAATATATATTTTCAAAAACATGAATGTTACAATTTCAAATTTCCTTCCACATTCTTTTAAGAGCTAAATTAAACTATGATTTTTCATGGAAATTTAGATATGCATCAGTAAAATTAAAGCACAATAATTTTTTCTGACTTCAAATGTTGCCTAAAACCAGACCACGAAACAAAAAGAATGTTAGTGGCTGTTACAGAAGGATGTGCTAACAGTGAAAAATTTAATTGAAACATAATTTATACAAAACGAAGAGATCACCTTCAATGTTGCCTAAAACCAGACCAATCGTTTGGCAACCGTATACCACTGGTCAACAAATTTTTAACAGTCGACTAACTTTGAAGAAGTAAAGATATAATCGTTGTTTAGGGGCTGTTACAGAAGGAATGTGCTAACAGTGAAAAATTTAATTGAAACATAATTTATACAAATTACTTACGAAGGGATCTAGCTCATATTGCATAATTATAAGGAAGCGTTTGCTAGATTTCACACAAAACTCTTTGCATAAGGAAGATAATTACGAGTTGGCCGTTGTCGTACATTCACATGCTTTTTAAATTGCTTAACGCCAGTTGATAAATAATTCGTAATACCCAAGCCAAGTGTCACATCTTGAGAGAGGCCTATGTACAGCAGTAAACTGACATTCAGAATATATATTGGAATTAGATTGTTGAGAATGGACTTAAATGATGTTTAGCAAAAAGGATATAACCTACGTAAGGCTACTTATAAAATATTGACATTTGAAGTCTACTAAAAGAAGTTTCTAGTGAGGAGATAATGTTTTTTTTAAATAAATAAGTCTTGATTAAAACTACTTTTACGGATTTTATCGCGTTTATTTTTACTTTTTATTTTTAATTCCCGACGTTTTGGGCGCTTTCCAGCACCCATGGTCACGGGGGACTGAGATGACTGATGTCCCGATGTCATTGTTAAACCCGGAGTACCTTCAGCTTTTTTAATTATTGTTTCTACTATATTGTATTGTAACAAGTCTGCAGTTTGTGATCATATCCTGGACGGCCCCAACCATTACATCAGATTTGATAGACCACAAATCCTCGCGAAAGAACACCGATTCCTACCAAGGATGATACGTGAGGCTATTGAAATTAAAAAACATCCTAATTTCAATAGAGAAGGAGGCTGGGTACTACCACCTGCTTGGGATCCTATAATCAATAAAATTAAAACTAAACCCAAGCATACCACTGCAAGACCTCAGGACATAGTCAGTATATTTTGCATAGATCGGACCATAAACAATAATTAAAAAAGCTGAAGGTACTCCGGGTTTAACAATAACATCGGGACATCAGTCATCTCAGTCCCAGGTGACCATGGGTGCTGGAAAGCGCCCGAAACGTCGGGAATTAAAAAAAAAAAAAAAAAAAAAAAAGTAAAAATAAACGCGATAAAATCCGTAAAAGTAGTTTTAATCATGTGCAATGTTCGCGTAAATATAAGAAATCATTAAATAAGTCTTGTTACAGGTTTCAGTTATAAAGACTGACTCTATCAACCGATTTTGTTGAAATTTCTTTTATTTTATGATAGAATAGGTCTTATGAGTTATTTTTTAATACATAACTCATTATTGACCCTACTGTGGGTTGGTTTCTTTTTGCTAGTAACCTTGTAATACCTACTATAGTTAATGTTGGAAAGTATAATTTTTTAACAAACTTAAATATTACATACATATGTACTTAAAAGCTATTTAAATTGACATACCTAGTTTCATAATATGTTTGAAGAATTCTAGCCAAATTATTTGTGTTACTCGACCTTAATGATAACATAATAGCCGGTACACCAAGACCTCGGCAGTGTGAGAGTTCTTCGTTTAAACAATCCTCGTGACGCTGGCGTACTACTGGTGACATTGAATCTACGCAGATATAGGGTGATATCTTGGCAACAATTCGACTAGTCCAATCTTGAGGAGACAGTATCATATCTGACCGTGTGAAGCCTCCAACTTTACTTACACCAGACACATACGAACGACGAAAACGTGGGTGAACCACTGGTGTAACTATAAATGAATAATTACAGTGTAGTGCCTCCGTGAGACATGCTTGTAAGTCTGGCGTGGTTAAATACTCTAAACCACAAGAAATATCTTGCGACATTTTTAAGATTCGAGAAACTACAACTGAAAAACTGATGTCAGGCGTGAAGAAAGTAGTTTTAATAGTGGAAACGGTTGGACAATAAAGAAGTACTCTACACGGTTGGAAATTGGAAAGCACATTTATTATTTATCCGGCGAGATACGAGAACGCGTTTGCCATAGATAAATAAATATGTAGCAGGCGTTTGCGTTCTTTTATGGTTCTTTAGGGGTTACAGATGACAGCTGAACCACAGAACCAGTGTTGCCAACAATAAATTTTGCTCCCGTTGTAAAGAACACTATAATCCCGTCAAGTACGGTAAACAAGTGTCAAATGTCAATCATTCATTTTTAGTGACCGAATCATTCTAGTACATTTCACAAAATACAAAATTTGTACATTATTCAACTAAATTCATTTACTTGTACTCATAAACAGCCAAATTCGCAGCTACTACTCACCGACGGCAGTGCCGCTATAAATTCTACAAATTTTCAAGGACAGGCGGGCTATGCTTTAATACGTAGCTTTAGTACGTAGCGATCTTTCTCCTGTTCTCTAATCTCTTGGGTTGAGTCTGTGAGATGCTTTGGGAACCGAACATTTTCTATTTGAGATTTGTAATAGCGCCATCTATTACATGCTATATGTAATAAAGTCATTTTATCAAACTAAAACTTATTGACATTCAAGGATATCACAGGTTTACAGGATAAGCAATTCAAACAGTAAAGAGAGAGAATGAAATAAATAGAGTAGTTGATAGTTTTCAATATATTCAACAGTAGCGCATCATTTTGGCCGACCAACGACAAAACAGTTCTTCTTCTTCTTTCTTTTGTGGCGGTTTGATAAAATTCGCCAATGACGTATTGAGTGGAAAATGAAAGCTTATGAGTTTAATTAAAATAAGAGTCTGTGATAATACAAGGATTCAGTTTTCCTCCAAGAATTTTGACAAATCTATTTGTTGAATTACCTAGAACAAATATGACAAACACAGGTGTTAGACTCTTACCAGTATGTTAAACGTGACAAGGATTTAAAGTTTCATATTATTAGTATTAATAAAATTACATAAAATATACAGAAAAGGAGTACTGTTATATGTTAAAAGAGAATTAAAATCTATAGGTCGAGGAATATAAGGAGGAAGGTAATCATAAAGGGAGGAGGATAATTTGGGACAGTTGAAAAAAATATGGTTTGTGGAACCTTCATCTAAGCCACATTCACACAATGAGCTATCCCTTACTTTGATTTTTGCCAAATGTGCATGTGTACAAGCGTGTCCAATTCTTAATCTACAAATGATTGAAGTTGCATGTTTATTTGCTTTGTTAAATTTAAAGAACCAGGGCTTGGGAGGAATAACCTCTTGGATGGCAGTATAGTGCTTACCTTTAACATTTTTGGAAACTTCCCATAATTTATTCCAATTTTCATGCAGTTTCCTTTTAGCTAGCAAAATTAGGTCATGTGAGTAAATTAAATTTTGTAGAATGCCATTAGCAATTGCATTTTTAGCGAGTACATCAGCTGTTTCGTTACCATGGATACCACTGTGGCCTGGAATCTAGGCCACTGAAACATGGATTCTTTAAGATGGCATCTGAATAGGGTATTTTTTATTTTAAGAATTAGTGGAAATTTATGTTTGTTACGGAATTCATTGGACAAAATAGCTAACAAACAACTTTTGGAATCTGTGAAAATAACTGTTTTGTTAAGATTATGTGACTCTACATATAACAAAGCTTCACTGATTGCAGTTGCTTCACCAGTAAAAATGGAGGATAGTGAGGGGCATTTAAAGTTAAGAATGATTTTGAACTTAGGAATCCAAACAGCAGCTCCAGTATAATCTTCATCAGACTGTTTTGAAGCGTCTGTGTACATGAGAAGCCAATCTTTAAAGGTGTTTTCTATAATTTCTTTTAATTTCAAATTTGCCATTGGAGAATCCTTTTCTATACCTAGATCTAGATGAATATCGGGTTGGTAAACAATAGCCTCGTAAGGAACATCAAAGAGCGGATTTATTTTACATTGAAAGATTGGGTAAGGAAGCTGAAGAAAAATTACAAAACTTCTAAACAAGCAGGGAGAGTCCTTATGGGTCCAGTATCGGTCAGATGAGATATACTCTGAAAGAAGATGCAATTTAGGAATTAGGGGATGATCTGAAAGCTGGCAGATCTTAAGGCTAATCATAAGTTAGATACAATGCGGTATACCTGGTGTATGAAGACTTCAGATATCTCTTCATCTGCATGATGGGCAGGTTGAGGTGCTCCGGCGACGGCTCCATTCTCTGCAGCCGCTTCAGTGTTGGCCAACGGCTGGCTCTGCTGCTCCGAAAATAAGAATCTGTCTGAAAGGTATTGCCTTCTTAAGCTTAAAGGAGGATCTACGCACTCAACCTGAAGAACATTTATTGGTGAGGATTTCATTGCCCCTGTAATAATGCGAAGGCATTTCGATTGAATTTTGTCCATTACTTTTAGGGATGATTTATTACAAGGCTCTAACAGAAAACATTCATAGTCAAGGTGGCTTCGTATTAAAGCATACATACATGTACAGTAATTTCTGAGAAAAAGGATGGGACCCCCACCAAACACCAGACAAAGACCGAAGAATATTTATGTTTTTTTTTTTCACATTTTTGTGTTATATATTCAATGTATGGACCGAAGGCCAATTTCGAATCAAGGATAACTCCCAAAAACTTAACATTTGACTCTAACCGGAATAGGTTGCTATTCATATACAACAGATATATCGGGAACTCACCTTTGGCTGGAAAAGATCACCACACTACTCTTGGCCACAGATAAAGAGAGGCCATGATTAGTTAACCATTCTTGTAAATAATCCATGGATGAGTTTAGACGGGAACATGCTACTGTGTAGTTGTTTAAGGAGATGTATAGAGCTAAATCGTCTGCATATTAAAGAACATTACAAAAAGAATTTACTGAAAGTTCTAAATCGTGAGTATATATACTCGTAAAATAAAGGAGAGGACTAAGAACTGAGCCATGAGGAAGTCCTTTCCATATAGTTTTTGGGGGAAGCAGGAAATTTTTAACATTTATAGATATTGATCTAGAAGAGAGAAAGTTAGAGACGTAATTGACTATGCTCACTGGAATGCTCAGATTAAGCATTTTCTGCCTGAGCACAGGAAGAAGCACATTATTATATGCAGAAGAAATATCCAAAAAAACTCCTATGAGAAATTCATGTTTTGAAAAAGCAATATGAATATCTGTGACCAAAGTACTAATGCTACCCATGGTACTTAAACCTTTTCGGAAATCGAATTGGCTTTTAGGTAACAGATTATTCTTTTCCAAAAACCACTCCAAGCGATTTTTTGTTAAATGTTCCAAGATTTTTGCCAAAGTACAAGAAAGGGCAATAGGTAGGTAATTGGAAGGGTCATTGCTAGACTTACCTGGTTTGAGAATGGGTAAAATAATTTGGGTTTTCCATATAGCAGGAGGATCACCAGTAATATAAATAAAATTTAAAATGGATAGTAAGACAGTTTTAGTGTTCTCACTACTATTAATTATAAACGAATAAGGAATCCCATCAATACCTGGTTAGGAGTCTTTAAGGCCATTGAGTACAGTAAACAATTCCTGAGAAGAAAAGGGGGAATCAAATTTATCATTTGTTTTTAAAAAAGCAGAATTAAAAACTAGGCAATCATCATAAGATGGGACTGTTTGTGGTGCAAGTTTATTAGAGAATTCATCTATCCACGGGGAAGGATCATTAGAAATTATATTTTTACTAGAAACTGCACAGCGATATTTTTTTTCATTTTATTTTACATTTCTCCAGACCAAAGATGGGGGAGTCCTAGGTGACGGTGACTCACAGAATTTAAACCAACCAGTTCGCTTTTTGTCTGACAGTAATTTTAAGGTTTGTGCAGCAATTTTTTTATAGGAGATATAATTCTCTGCAGTCATAGAACGGGAGTATATTCATTCAGCCTCTTTTCTTCTCCTACAAGCTGCTGAACAATCTTGGGTCCCACCAAGGAGGGGAAGTATAATTATTTTTGAAAGGTTTTTTTAAGGGGATTGACTTATTAGCAGCAGAAATAATTGCATTTCTGAACTCTATATATACAGGAGCAATATTATCATTGTTAATTGGGGGAAGAGTTGAAACCTCTTGTTCCAAAACTGTAGAATATAATTGCCAATTAGCTTTGGATAGATTATACTTTAGTCTTGGGCAAAATGTAAAATTTATTCTAGGTGAAGTAGAAGGAGTGATGAATATAGGAAAATGGTCACTGCCATAGCTAGAAGGTAATATTTGCCACAAAAGAAGGGAAGCAATATCTGGGGAACAGAGAGTTAGGTCAATGGCACTTCTAACATTTTGTAATGGGGATACTCGATGGGTAGGAGACCCGTCATTTAGAATACAGAGATTAAAATTATCAATAAGATCTAAAAATAAGGGAGCCAGTTAATCACACAGATTGGAACCCCAAACAGTATGATGCATATTAAAATCTCCCAAAATAAACATAGGAGGTGACAGAGAAGAAATAAGTGTTGCAAGTTCTGTTAAAACATTTACATCAGGATTAGGAATGTAAACAGAGAGAATAGAGACATCAAGGGCCTTAATAGCAACAGCATTTACTGCTGGACTATGAGAAGGAAGAGGAATTTGTGAAAATGTAACTGTTCTTGAAATTAAAACAGAGGTGCCAGCACGACCATCACTCCTATCATCCCGGAGGCATGCGTAGCCTGAAACCCTAAAATGAGACTCAGGCCTAAGCCATGTCTCCTGGATGGCAAGAATGAAGGGATGAAGTTTATTAATGAGGTAAGTGAGTTCATTTTTTTTATTTCTAATGCTCCGACAATTCCATTGAAGAATTGGTGGGACTGCGAATGTTACGGGCTAAGGAGGAAAGCTGAGTAAGTTTTTGGTGTAAGCTGAGAGGAAGTTCCGTGTCACAAAAACGAGAG